CCGGGCTCGCCGGGGGGCGGCGGGGCCCGGCACACCCGCCGTGACCGCCCGTTCTCCCCGCAGGCCTCCGGCAACAAGGTGAGCCGGCAGTCCGTGCTGTGCGGCAGCCAGAACATCGTCCTCAACGGCAAGGTGAGCAGCACCGCCCTGTTCTGTGCCTCCGCCTGGCTCTGTAGTGCTCACTGGCACGACCAGGAGCGCAGCTGGCGGCTCCAACCTCCTGCACTTTTGCTTTGTTGTCACTTCTCTTTTGACTGAAAGACTCGTCCCTAAAGCAAGGGAATCTTGCTGGAGCGGCCAGGCCTCGGCGTGAGTTAGTGTACTAAGTGTCACGGCAGGCGGCAGAGGGAGCGGGTTTACCTGTGTGTCCTTCTGCAGACCATCGTCATGAACGACTGCATCATCCGCGGGGACCTGGCCAACGTGCGGGTGGGACGGCACTGCGTGGTGAAGAGCCGCAGCGTCATCAGGCCACCCTTCAAGAAGTTCAGCAAAGGGTAGGAGGCCCCTTCCTTTAGGGACATACCTGGAAAATCTGTCAGCTTGACCGAGTCTTGTGTTCAGAGAACTCTGTTCCTTTTGCAGCAGCTTGCAGAGATACGTCTCTCAAACCTGCTTTTTCCTCAGATGCTGAGCTGTGCCTTGAGGGTTGGTGTTCCAACCCTCTGTTGGATGGAAAGGATAGATTAGAATAGCAAAGTGAAGAGCATGTTTCAGTTTCTGTGTGTTTATTCACAGAATCTTCCTTCTCATTTGGGCCATCCTTTAAAGAGGAGGAGCCCAAAAACTGTTCTGTCTCCCTTAGCACCAGATCCACCTCTGTTAATCCATCTGGGGACAGGAGACTCCACAGGGTGGTTCTGGGTCTGGCGGTGTCAGTTTGTTTGTTGGACACATACAGATGCTCTCCTGTTGCAGGGTGGCTTTCTTCCCTCTGCACATTGGTGACCATGTCTTCATAGAAGAGGACTGTGTTGTCAACGCGGCCCAGATCGGCTCCTATGTGCACATAGGCAAGAACTGTGTCATTGTGAGTGCCATTTCTGTATTTTCTCTGCACTCCTGGGTGCTTGTGAACTCCTTGTGACAGCGGCTGAGAGGTGTCTGCACCAGCTGGCTGGAGCAGGCTCACTGTCTCTGTGCTGTTCCTTCCTGCTCCTCGTCCTTCTCTGCAGGAAGCTGAGCTTTCAGGTTGACTTTTCTGAGGACAGTGTGTTCAGCTGCTGCTGGCTGCAAAATCCATCCCAAGTGCTGTCCCTGTGGCTAGTGGGATTGTCTGGGGAAGGCAGCCTGGCCACAGAGTGCAAGTGGAATTGTGTTTCTGTGTAAATAAGACCAAATAGTCAAGGCTACTCTGTGCTGAGGTGGAGAAGGCCTTGCTGGTACTGCTTGACTCAGGTTTTTTGTGCCAGTTTGAGCATTGACGTGTTAATGTCCAGTTGTACCTGTGCTAGCTGAAAGCAGGCAGACATTTTTCCTCAAAAAGAAAAGTTAATTCTGTTGGGAGGAGCATTCAGTCAGGGTAAAGATTTATTCCTGTGATCTCTTATAAAGGATATGTTTTGAGCAATTAGTCTTGAAATTTAGGTAACATATCAGTAATAATAAGAAAACCTCATGTTTATAGTGTTGTGAGTATAAACTTGTCCTGTTCTCTGTTTTAGGGACGTAGATGTGTTTTGAAAGACTGCTGCAAAATCTTAGACAACACAGTACTCCCTCCCGAAACCGTAGTTCCACCTTTCACTGTCTTCTCGGGCTGCCCAGGTATGCTTCCTCTACCTTCCCTTGCACAAAACTGCAGATAACATAGATATTCTTATTTTAAATGGGATTTCTGTAACAAAGGTGCCCATTAGCATTTAGTGCCTAAAAATAAAGGTGTTGGTTACTTGCTGCACTGAAAAGTAACAGTTTAACTTGTGAAACTGCCTGTTCTGGTGCATGGTGCACAGGTGGTACACGATGACTGATGCCGTGCTGCTGTTCTTCTTCCAGGACTCTTCTCTGGGGAGCTCCCGGAATGCACCCAGGAACTCATGATTGACGTCACCAAGAGCTATTACCAGAAGTTCTTGCCACTCACTCAGGTCTAGTAGCCCATTTGCCGTGTCTCAGGCACACAGGAGCGTTCTGGGGGTGGGCAGGGGGCTGCTGTCCAGTGAGGCCAGAGCCCTGAGCACCTCTGCGTGTGCCTCAGCTGGCCTGGCCGAGCAGTCCCTGCTGAAAGCTGCTGTGTGCTGTTCAGACTCTGTGTGCTCGTCCCGTGTACTCCATTCCACGTTGTCTGAGTTGTGCCACTGAATGTTCTGGAGCTGGAAAGCTGAACGCCTGCTTGGGGCAGCAGCTGGGGAGCGAGGCAGGGCTGACACTGTCTGCTCAGTTCTGTCCTAACACAAAGCTAGGCTTAGGTTTGCTAGGCGCAGTCTCCATCCCAGCAGGGCTGTTCTGGCTGTGCTCTGGGCACTTAGCAGGGTTCATTAGACCCAGCCTTTCCTTTGGCACAATACTTGCTGCCCATGGGCCTGCATGTGAGGTGCCTGGCCTCTTCCTTTTCTCCCTGGGATTCTCTCCCGGGGTACATCATCCTGCTGTTGGCTTTAGGAGTTTTGGCTGACACTGACACTGTCTTTCTGTGCCTGACAGGATGTTCCTTAGCTTTTACCTCCTGAAGCAGACTGAACTCAGTCCTGTGCTCTCACCCCTCAGGGCTAGTGTTCTTGGGGTCAGTGTCACTTCCTGAACATCACAGACCTTAAAGAGCCAAAGGCCTTTGAAAAGAGGATTGCCATGTCACTCACAGAATTCAGTGCAGCAGAAAGTGGGTAATTAAAAGTGAGAGACTGCTGCAAATGTTCCCATTTATTACCCAGTGTCTGCGTTTGCAGAAAGCTCTTCTGTGCTTTTCTGCATTATGAAACTTAAGAATGACACTCAGACTTCTTAGAAAGAGTGAAGATTTCATTTTGGACAGGTAGTAGAGCATGAATAGTTCTTGCTGAGAGCAGCTCTGAAAGTTGGAGGCATCTGATGCGTGTGTACCTGAGTACAGACAAGTGGCTGCACACCAGTCTGCCTGCTCTGGTTGTGCTCTGTTAAAGCTTAGCATAGTCCAGCTCTAGGGTTTAAACTGGTGCTCCTGTGTGTTTAGTGTAGCAGCTGGGGCCTGGACACGTATGAGGTGTGTGGCTGTGGATGAGCAGCCCCGGAGCCTCAGCTGATCTGTGTAGCAAATGCTGATTCACCTTAGTAGCAAATAGCCCTGTGAGTACTAACATGTGTAGTAGCTGCTGTGCATCCCATGTAAAACCACTGACTGGTTTGTATTTTTACTGTACATAAATTAAAGCCTCTTCAGTTGTTCAAGTGACTCGTGACTCTTCAAATCAAACTAGACTGAGGTTCCTGTTGTGCTTGGGCATGAGCCACGGTCCCTTGTTGTGTGACTGCTACAGGCTGTTCTGGCTGTCCTGTGCATTACAACATGTAGTGCAGCGTGAAACGGCTGCTTGCTCCCTCTGAGGGGCCCGAGAGGCCTCCTCTGTCACAGACAGGTTTGGGGCTTCTTGTGAGATTTCCTGCAAGTCAGGAGTTCAGAGCATTGCTTTGCTCCAGGGTGTCTCTGGCAGTGTCTGCCAGGAGTGGGGTGTCTGTGCTGTGTTGCTGTGTTGTCACCTCAAAGTTTCGACACCACATCATGTGTTTCACTGGGATCGCTTGATCAGCAGCCACAGCAGCAGGGAGAGGAGTGGGAGAAGGGATATGAGTTTGGGAGCGGGATGGCAGAGGAGTGGGAGAGGGCATATGAGTTTGGGAGTGGGATGGCAGCTGCAAAAGTCTGAGTGATGAGTTTCCACCGCTACCTGAGAGCAGAGCTGTAGTGCATGAGGGGATGTGACACTGCAATAACATGTTTCTTGGCCTGCTCTTCCTTCTAGCTGTCTGAGCTGACTCTTCTGCCTTAATTAAAACCTCTTTTGTTGTCTTTGTTAAGGTGGCCTCTGGCAGGGCCTAAAACCAAGCCACCACTGAGGATCCCTAACACCCAGCATTGTTAACATTCCTTACACTGGCCACTTTCTCCTCCTGCCTCTGAAGCGTCCCTCTGACCTGGGCTCAGCTCTCCGCCTCTGCCAGTTCTGGGAAGATGGAGTGTCAGTGTCCCAGCTCTGCAGGCTGCCTTCCATCCAGCATGGTGCAGTAACATGACACAGGAGGCTGTGTCTGTAGCCCAAGGAGCTGCAGGAGTGGGGAAGCATGTCCTACAGGGAGGGGAATGTCTTCTGTCAGGAATCTGTACAAACACTGAGCACTTCTAACCCCAAGTTGCTGTGTGGCTTCATTGATCCCTGTGTGCTTTGCTCGGCGTTGCTGACCGGGACGGGCAGGGTGTGCTGCTGGATTTGAGGAGGTTCAGGGTCCCTGGGAGCACACCCTCCCTGCCTGTGCTGCTGGTGGCTCGGGGTGAGGAGTGAGGGGCCTGCCAGGGCTGTGTGGGGAGGTCTCTCAGGCACCAGGCCAGTGGGGACGTGCCTGCGGTGTGGGCAGCAGAATGCCCCGGGACGATCCAGCTCTGTGGTGGGAATGGCACTTGAGCTGTGGCTCTGGTGACCTGCAGGGCTCCTGGCCCTGTCCATGCACTGGGCTCTCCAGGACACCCTGGCACGGATGGCCCATGCCTGTGGGTGAGGCTCGGCCAGAGGCATCGGCTCAACCCACCTGGCAAATGCACGGTGTACGCTGGCCACTAACATCTGTGCTGTGCTAGCCAGCGCTGAAAGAAACAGCTTCTGCTGATGGGGAAAGGAGGCAAAGCACGTTAATGCCCTCAGCGCATGGCGCCGAGCGTGCCTGGGAGCAGCGAGCCTGGGCTGAGGCGCTGCTGCTGTGTGCTCGTGGGTCACTTGTCACTGGTGCTGGAGTTCAGGCGTGGGCGCATCCCACGGTCACTTCTCCTGGCAAGGGGGGCCCAGGAGCCAGCGCCGGGAGTGCTGCAGACCCTGGCGTGGGGGGCCCTGCGGTGAGGGGCACAGGGGCACTGAGGTCAGGGACAGCCCCTCGGAACTGCCACACTGTCACCCGACGGGCAGCAGCGTGGGGGTGTCTGTGTTATAAAAACCGGCCCAAGGCCGGTTCCTGCCTACCGCTGGGAACCGGCAGGACACGGAAGGCCCGGGAGCGGGCGGTGCCGCCGCAGTGCCTCTCCCGGGAAGATCCACGCCGGCTGCAAATCCCAGGGGAATGTCCTTGGCGGAGCGCCTCGTGCCCGCGCTCGGGGGTCCTGCGGGGCCGCGCTCGGGCAGCGGGAGCGCGCCTCGCGTGTGTGTGTGGGGGCCGGCGGGAGCGCGCGCGGCTGCAGCCAACGGCCGCCGGCGCACGCGCACACCGCGGGCGCCGTGGGGGCGTGTCCAAGCGCTCCCGGCCCCGCCCCCGCGGGGTGCGTGCCTGTCTCGGCTCCCATGGTGCCCCGCGCGCCGCGTGGATTTTAAATCGTGCGGCCAATGGGGAGCGGCCGCGCGCGGTAACGGCCCCGGCGCCGCCTTTGAATCGCGGCCGGACCGAGCGAGAGAGAGAGCGGCCGAGCTCAGCCCGGGCCGCCGCCGCACCGGCACAGCGACCCGCCGGCACAGGGACTCGGCACCCCCAGCTCCACCGGTACCGAGACCCCCCGCTGCACCGGCACCAGGACCCGCCGGTACAGGGACTCGGCACCCCCAGCTCCATCGGTACCGAGACCCCCAGCTACACCGGTGCAGGCACCGGCACCCACTGCTGCACCGGGAGCCGCCGCTCGCCCGGCAGCCGCTGTTTGGGTGCAGGGAGCCGGGGCCCGGCGGTGCCCGAGCGCGGACACAGCATGAGCGCGCCGGGCGGGAAGGCGGCGCGGCCGGCGGCGCTGGCGGAGCCGGCCCGGGCGGCGGCGGCGGCGGCAGCAGCGGCGGGCAAGGAGGTGCCGAAGGTGCTCGTGGACCCGCGCACCCGGCGCAGCTTCGTGCGCGGGCGGTTCCTGGGCAAGGGCGGCTTCGCGCGGTGCTACGAGCTGGCCGAGGCCGAGAGCCGCGAGGTGTTCGCGGGCAAGGTGGTGCCCAAGTCGCTGCTGGTGAAGCCGCACCAGAAGGAGAAGATGTCCATGGAGATCGCCATCCACCGCAGCCTCTCCCACCGCCACGTCGTCGGCTTCCAGGGCTTCTTCGAGGACGACGACTTTGTCTACGTCGTGCTGGAGCTGTGCCGCCGCAGGGTGAGGGGCCGGGGGGCGGGTGTCGGTGTCCCCGGGTACGGACTGTCCCCTTCCCCGCGTCCTGCCCTACTGAGCTCGTCCTTGTCCCGCAACCCCCTCCCCGGTTCTGACCGACCGTCCCCCACAGTCGCTGCTGGAGCTGCACAAGCGGCGGAAGGCGCTGAGCGAGCCCGAGGTGCGGTACTACCTGCGGCAGACCATCCTGGGCTGCCAGTACCTGCACAGCCACCGCGTCATCCACCGCGACCTCAAGCTGGGCAACCTCTTCCTCAGCGACGACATGGAGGTGAAGATCGGTAAGTGGCAGGGACCCCAGCCCAGGGACCAGCCGACCAGGGCATCTTGGTCACATCCCGTCTCCCTGTCCCTCCAGGTGACTTTGGCCTGGCCACCAAGGTAGAGTACGATGGGGAGCGCAAGAAGACCCTGTGTGGGACACCCAACTACATCGCCCCAGAGGTGCTGGGCAAGAAGGGGCACAGCTTCGAGGTGGACATCTGGTCCATAGGCTGCATCATGTGAGTCAAACTGCCTTTCAGAGGCCGTGGGCATGGGGAATCCTTGTGGTTCTGGTCTCCTTGGCCCCTCTGAGCTTCAGTGTGATCTAGAGCTCCAGGTCACTGTCCCCACAGTGTTGAGTCCTGCTGCCAGGCAGCTCCCGACCTTCCCCAACTGAAACTTTCCCTGCAGGGTGCTAGATTCCAGTTTCCCTTTCTAGGGAAAGGATCCAGGCACAATACACATAGCTGTCAGTGTGTCCAATGCTAAGTGTGTTCCCTCTGCCAGGAAAGCCCCTGGCTGTGCTTAGGACATGGTCATTCCTATGCACAATCTGAGTCTCTTTTGCCAAACTGACACCCTTTTGTCTGGGAATGCCCAGGTACACTCTTCTGGTGGGGAAACCGCCGTTTGAGACTTCTTGTCTAAAGGATACGTACATCCGGATCAAGAAGAATGAGTACACCATTCCCAAGGTATGCTGCTTCCTGTGGAGCTTCTGTTTGGCTCACAGTGAGCTTGGTGAGCCTTCTGCTGCAGCCTCTGTGTCTGGCACTCCGTGGGCTCTCCCATAGCAGGGCAGGGGCTCTCAGTGCTGGGGGGCTGGTTCAGGCTGGGGTGGTGTGAGCCTTGTGGGGAGCCAGCAGCTCCCTGCCCCCTAGTCCAGCAAAAATCTGAGCTGGGCTGTTGGTGTGTGGGGGTGAATGGACATGGGCAAGTCCATGAGGCCTGGGCCACGTCCCCAGCTCACCCCACTGCTGATGAGTTGGTGTTGCTCAAGTCATTTGACCTCAGGCTTTGGGTGCTGTTAGGAGCCCGTTCTCTGGGCTACCCAATTCTGCTTCCCCAGCCTTGTGTCCTGCTTGCCTGATGCAGCACTGGGGCTCTGCTCCAGGTGGAGCTTCCCTGGGCTGCAAACCCTGTTCATTTGTCACTAGCACACGTTGTCCCCTGACCGTCTCTAAACTCTGCCTGTCCCTCAGCACATCAACCCTGTGGCCGCAAACCTCATCCAGAAGATGCTGAGGTCGGACCCTGCCACGCGCCCGACCATCGACGAGCTGCTGAATGACGAGTTCTTCACCTCGGGCTACCTCCCCAGCCGCCTGCCCACCAGCTGCCTCACCATCGCGCCCCGCTTCTCCCTGGCTCCCAGCAGCATGGAGCTCGGCGGGCGCAAGCCGCTGACCGCGCTCAATAAAGGTACCCGTGGGTGCCCAGGTGGGGCTGGGCAGGGCCGAGCCCACCAGGGGCTGCAGGGCCAGGCAGAGCCCACCCGGGCTGCAGCAGCATCCACATCCTTCAGTGAGCCTCCCTCTCATCTTCTCCTGATCCTTAGGGAAGCTCAGAGCATTTGTGGGTGAGGGGGCTCTCCCTGCTCTGCCCAGGTGAAGCACTGCGTTTGCTTCAGCTCTGTAAGGGGCTCAAGCTGACACATGGAAGTTCCACCAGAATGTGAGGAAGACCTTCTCTCCTGTGCAGTGCCTAAGCACTGAACAGATTGCCTAGAGAGGGTGTGTGGAGTCTCCCTCACTGGAGATGTTCCAGAATCCTCTGGACACATCCTGTGCCCTGTGCTCTGGAATTACCCTGCTCCCGTCCAACATGAGCCGTTCTGTGTGTCAGGTGTTGCCTGTACCTGGGGTAGGGTGTAAGTCTGGTGCCTTTGGAAACCTCGCCCTGGCAACGCCTCACACTGTTCTCTGTCTGGCCCAGGACTGGACAGCCCTGCCCAGGAGCCCTTGCCGGACAAGGAGGAAGCGGCGGGGCTGCGGGAGATGGGAGATGCTGTCAGTTGCCACCTGGCTGACATGTTGCAGCAGCTGACTGCAGTCAACGCAGCCAAGCCCTCCGAGAGAGTAGCAGTGAGGCAAGGTGAGCCTGGGGCAGCCCACGGGCTCGTGGGGTGCACAGCCTGTGGGAAATGTCTCCTAACAAGCTGCTTTCTTCCTGCAGAAGAAGCTGAGGACCCAGCCTGCATTCCCATCTTCTGGGTTAGCAAATGGGTGGACTACTCGGATAAATACGGACTCGGTAAATGCTATGGGTGGCAATGCTTCAGGCTTTCCTGGTGCCTGAGGGGGCTGGGAGAAGCCTGGGTTGGGGCATTTCCTAGGCCTGGGGTTTTTAATCACCATATTCCAGTGTGTGTGTCCAAGACCACTGCCAGGAATCTTACCAAATACCCCCGGAATCCAGAGCAGTGGTCACTCACCATCATCCTGGCCACTTTAACGTGGACAATAGTGTCTGTGCATGAGGTGACCCAGCTCTCCCCAGCCTGCACAGAGATCCACGGTGGCAGCAGAGGCTGTTTTTGAAGCAGCTGATGCAATAAAGGAGATGACAAATCCAGAGGTGGAAAAGTGCCAGCCAGACCTTCCCAAAGAGGAGACCTGGCAGGGCCTTGTGGGGGGGGCTGTTAGGGAGCCCCTGGGTGATAAACCATCTGCCTTGGTACTTGGCAGTCCCCTGAGATTGGAGGTCTCATGGGGTCCCTTCTGGGCAGGTTACCAGCTCTGTGACAACAGCGTTGGGGTTCTCTTCAATGACTCTACTCGGCTCATCATGTACAACGATGGGGACAACCTGCAGTACATTGAGCAGAACAACACCGAGTCCTACTTCACTGTGAGGTCCTACCCCTCTGCCCTCAACAAGAAGGTCAGTCCTGGGGACAGGAGCCCTGGCTGGGGGGTGGTGAAACTCCTGCCACCCTTAGGCTTTGATGGCAGGATGGGTTCCAGGGAGAAACATTTATTGGAGGCCACTGGCACTTTGCAGGCTTCCTCCAGCTGGTGACATGGGGGCCCAAGGACAGACACTAGCAGCTCTAACTGCTATCTGAGGCTCATTTATGAGCAGTTGCACAGAAATTTTAAGCGCTCACATCACTTGGATGTACCCAAGTGTTCAGCAAAGCGAGTCTGTTGTGTCATGGTCAGAGTTAAATTTGAGGATTTCCACAAGTTTTTGCTGTGACACCTCAAGCTCTGAAAGATGTAAGGAGGGTCTGGGACTGTGATGGCAGTCCCTGTGCTCTGCCCCCCGTGCCTGGGGTCACCCTCAGCCCCTCAGAGCCCATCCCTTGTGCAGATAACACTACTGAAGTACTTCCGGAATTACATGAGCGAGCACTTGCTGAAGGCGGGGGCGAACATCACGCCACGGGAAGGGGACGAGCTGGCCCGACTGCCCTACCTGTGCACCTGGTTCCGGACCCGCAGTGCCATCATCCTGCACCTCAGCAACGGCACTGTGCAGATCAACTTCTTCCAGGTGAGGCTCTTTGCAGGGCAGTGGCTCCGGCTGCATGTGGTGCTGCTTGGACAGTGGCAGGAGGGGATGAGCTGAACCAAGGCTTTGCCCAGGGAGCCAGGCACTGGGAGCTGTCTGTGCTGGTACCTAAAGCCCCCAGACTCTCCTCACTCACGAGGGGCTATGCTCTGGAGCAGCATGCTGGCTGCTGCAGCCAGCTGTTGCCCTTTGCTGCGCTCTGAAGGAATTCTACAGAGGGACCTTGTCACACGCTCCGGGTGCTGCCGAGATGGCTCATCCGGAGGAAATGCTGCCCCAAGGAGCACAGTGCTCAGTGAGCGTGTGTTCTCTTCCCCGCAGGACCACACCAAGGTCATCCTGTGCCCTCTCATGGCTGCTGTCACATACATAGATGAGAAACGGGACTTCCGCACGTACAAGCTGAGCCTGATCGAGGAGCACGGCTGCTGCCGGGAGCTGGCCAGCCGCCTGCGCTACGCCCGCACCATGGTGGAGAAGCTCCTCAGCTCCAAGTCTGGCTCGGGCCGGGCGAAATCTTCCTCTTAGACCTTGTTCTTGCTGGACTCAACATCTGTGCCAAATTGCGCAGCTGTGGAGGGAGAGGTCTGGCAGCTTCCCTCCCGTGGCCCAGCTGGGTTCCCATTCCTGGGTATGGGCTCGTTGCCACAAGGAAGCCCCTGCTGCTGTGGGAATGGTGTTGTTTACTGACTGGTGCCCAAAGGTTTCTTGCTTCCTGCTCATAAAAAAGTGTATTTTTTAATTCCCTACCTAGTCTGTTTTTCTAATTTCCCAAAGCCAAAAGCCCAGCTCCAAACCAGTCCTCTCATTTGAGGTGCCTGGGCCTGCTCTTGAGAGAGCAGAGCTGGCACGTGAGGTGTCCGTACATGGCTGTGCCCGTGCTCTGGGCTTCGTTTCCTCTGGTAGAAGCTCAGGTAAGGTATTGAACAAACCCAGGGTGAGATTTGAGCAATCGGCCTTTTAATACTGAAACTCCATGAAACCTCAACTTTTGTATATTGCATAACTTGAATAAAGATTGTTTGACACAGCATCCAGGCTGTTTCACTTCCCTTTGCCTTACTGAGAGAGGAGGCAGCAGCTCTCTGGCTTCCCCTCTGAATGAGGCATCCTCTTACCCTTACTGACAGCCCTGGGCTGGGCTTGCCTCTTCCTTGGTTCCATGACGAATGATTGCTAAAGAATCAGCACAAGCCAGAGGTGCCCTCAGGCCAGTTTGTTTTTAAGCAGGACCAGCTTTTTTGTTTTTATTTTTAAATTTTTATAACATTTTGTATAAATATATTCTGAAAATAAACTTGGTACAAACCCTGTTACCTGTGTAACAAAATCCCACACCCCAGCACACACAGGAATCAGACTATACAAAATTATTGCTGTTCCACAGAGGAGCTTTGTTGTGGGGCTCTCTGTGCCCATGGGCTCAGTTGGTGTTGGAGGCTGGCTAGCAGGGAACACGTGCCCATGGGGATGCCATGAACCAAAGCACTCATGGGACACCCGCCCTGGGCAGCAGGAGAGGCTGGGGGAGCTGCAGGCATTGGCCTGTCTTTGAGGGAAGGATCCCAGGGGCAACTGTTCCATACTGCAGTGCCACCAGGCCTGGCACAGGTACAGGCTGCTGGGGACCCTAAGGGAGAACCCCCTGTTCTGAGCCCAGCTGAGATCCACACCTTCATGGCGGGGCTGTGCCCTCACAGCCCGGGTCCCAGCCCCAGGGTGGCTGCTCAGCCTGGCCTGGGGAGCACAGCCCCGCTGGGGCTGAGGGGCAGCTCCAGTGTCAGGACTGGGGGCCTGGTGTGCTCAAGGAGCTGTGTCCCCTGGCACAGGAGAGAACCCACGGCACAAAGCGGGACAAAGCTTCCAGTCCCTGGGGGATGTCCCCTGGGGCCGACGGCAGCCTGAGGGCATCGCTGTGCCAGGGCCCCGCTGTGAAAACACAACGTGTTTTCCTCTTTCTTCTCCAATCACTTCGTCCACCTGAGATGTCTTTGTTTTCTGACCCAAATGCCTTCACACCTGAGTCTGACTGTGATACCTCTGTTGCCTCGTGCCCTCGCTTGGCCCGGCAGCAGGACACCGAGAGAGGGCCCGGGCGGGGAGCAGTGGCCACAGCCCTCAGCCATGACCTCCAGCAGGCACCATCGCCGCTCAGCCATGACCTGCGGCCCTCAGCCATGACCCGTGGCCCTTGGGCACCGTCGCCCCTCAGCCATGACCCACGGCCCTTGGGCACAACCCATGGCCCTCAGCCATGACCCACGGCCCTCAGGCGCCGTCACCCCTCAGCCATGACCTGCGTCCCTCAGCCATGACCTGAAGCCCTCAGTCATGACCTGCGGCCCTCAGGCGCTGTCGCCCCTCAGCCATGACCCATGGCCCTCAGCCATGACCCGCGGCCCTCAGGCGCCGTCACCCCTCAGCCATGACCCACGGCCCTCAGGCACCGTCGCCCCTCAGCCATGACCCGCGGCCCTCGGCCATGACCTGCGTCCCTCAGCCATGAAGGCCCTCAGGCGCCGTCGCCCCTCAGGCCCTGGCAGTAGTAGGAGTGGAAGATGCGCTCGTGGGCACAGACCCGCATGGCTCCGTGCGTGTGCAGCAGCAGCCGCGGGAAGCGGGAGGTGAAGTACTGCATGAAGCCCTCGGGGACGGAGCCCAGGGCCAGCCGCACATCGGCCGGCAGCTCGTGGTAGTGGTGCTTCTGCAGGAGAGAGGGTGAGGTGAGAGAGGACGGGGACAGTGGAGGTGGCAGGGCCAAGGGCAGCTGGGTGCCCGTACCTTGTTCCTCATGGCCCGCAGCAGGTCACGCACTGACCCCCCCTTGTAGGTGCGGAACTTCCTCAGGTCTGGGGGCAACAGGAGAGACACAGATTGAGGGGGGACACAGCGGGGCTGGGGGCTGCCACATGCCCCATAGTGCCAGCCCCAGCCCTGCTGCACTGTGGCCTCCCAAGGAAGGGCTGCCACCTTCACCTGCCCTGCTTTTTGGCTCCTGGGCACAAGCAGGTGCCTGCTGGCCAGTAAAAGCACCAGCCCCTGGAGCCCCAGTCCCTACCTGCTTCACTGGACCCCATGATGAGCCTGGCCCCTCCATGCTCACCCATCTGCAGCGGGAGGGAGATGTGCATCCTCCAGTTGGTCCTCACCACCGCCCGTCCCCCCGATTCCAGGGCTGAGACGATGGGCCCCTCGGCTGGCTCCTTCTCCACACGGTCACTGACATCCTATGTGCCCAAGAGGTGGGTATGGCACTGCCCTTGCTCTGCACGAGGTGGGACAGAGACCCAGAGACCCCTCCACCCCTCCTAAGAGTAGCTCACAATAAGCATGTTGACCTAAACACTGCCCAAACCCTGCATGTTGACCTAAACAAAGCCATTCCCAGCATGTTTTTCAGTGTATACCTGTGTTCACTGCCAGTGGGACAGCAGAGGCTCACCTGGAAGAACTGCAGCTGCTTCTCCTGACTCCAGAAAAAGGGATGCACAAGGACCACGGGGGCCGAGGGCCGGCGCTGGGGCTCGGAGCTGATCATCGCCACAATCAGCTCCCTCGCAACGAGTTTGTCTGGGGGGTGAAGCAAAACAGCAGAGAGCTCGCCCCTGCTCCAGGAGCAGGAACTGCCCTCAGCCCAGAGCCTCCCCACAGTGCTGTGCCACTGGGGAAGGGTCTCACCGTGAGCCTCCTCCTGCAGGCAGCTCAGCTGGTAGGAGCCTGCCAGGATGTTGGCCTGGCGCCGCAGGCTGTCCCCAAAGGGGTGCTGTCCCCCCGACACCACGTAGTAGAAGATGCACCCGGCTGAGAAGATGTCCACAGCACTGGTCTGCAAAACACAGGGGGCACGTGGGACCCTCAGGCAAAGGCGAGGAAACCTTTACCTCCCACTTTTCTGTCCTTTCATGTGGACAATTGGTCAGTGGCTGCAGAGCTGCTGGAAAATGCATCACATGGGACTCCTGCTCTGCTACCTGCGTCAGGGAGCCCCATCACGCCAGGTCCCCAAGAGAGAAGGGGTTTCCAGAGGCACACCAGAATTCAGGACTCCACAGCCCAACAGACATGGAGGGACTGCTGGTGTCCCACCAGCAGGCAAATGGACACCAGCATGAGCCCCAGCACAGCCCAGGATCAGTGCAGCAGCTGCTCCCAGTGGGAATGAGATCCCCAATTCTGAAGAGAGGAGAAGCGTGACCTTGGCAGCATCCCTCAGCCTCTCCAACCCCCCCACCCTGAATTTCTGAGGACTAATGGAGCCTAATGAGACACCTGTGCTGAACACAGCTGGGCACAGTCCTGCAAGGGCAGGGGACGGGGACAGCCCTGGCAAGGAGCACAGCGCCTGTGTCTGGGCTGGCTCTGGCTCATGGAGCTCTCATCTTAATTGTGCACCCCAGCAGTGTGACCTGAGGCCAGTGCCAGCATGGGGACACTGCCACAATGGGCCCAAGGAGCACCCAGGGCAGGGGAGGCCACGGCTCACTGACAGGGTTCTCCTTCGGGGCCTCCTGCAGCACCTCGGGCGCGATCCAGCCCTCAGTGCCGGGGATCCCGGAGCGGAGGCTGAAGCTCTGTCGTCCCCCCTGAAGCTTCTTGCAAAGGCCAAAGTCAGAGATGACGGCACGGATCTGCCCGTGGCGGTTCGGGACAGAGATGAGGATGTTACAGGGCTTCAGGTCACGGTGCACTGCAAGTGACAGGGTGTGGCGTCACCTGGCAGGGCTGGAGCAAACAGGGCTCTGCCACAGCCCCATGTGCTGCTGACCCCCAGAGCTACTGCCCAAACCCCAGCAGACACTGCCCAAACCCTGCAGCATCCGCCGAGGAGAGGGTGGAGAGGGGACTGCTGGTCCTCACCGATGCTGAGGGAGTGCAGGTGGGCCAGCCCGGACATGGTCTGACGCAGCACGGACACCGGGTCCAGCCCACGGCGCTCAAAGCTGGGGCTCTCCACGTACTGGAACCACACAGGAGGAGAGGAACTAAGCCTGATTTACTGGCTGGAGAGACACCCCACCCCAGCGTGATGGGGGGTGACGGAGAGGAGCCCCTGCAGAGGCTGTCTGTGCCCAAGATGGTGTTGGCAGGGCTCCCAGGGCCGCAGCAGCAGCCCTGTGGCCGGCTCACCAGCTGCAGCGTGGCGGAGCACAGCTCGATGGCGATGTAGTGGAACTGCCGGTCCCTCTCCGTGCAGAAGTAGCGGACGACGTGGGGGTGCTCGTCCGACTCCCGGAGCAGCTGCACCTCGCGGTCCAGCAGGTGGACACACTCGGGCAGGAGACGCTTCACGGCCACCCTGCGGCCCTCGAAGTGCCCCCTGTGCAGAGAGCCCCCGGAGTGTCCGTGTGCAGCAGGGCCCAGCCACGCTCACGCACAGGCTCCCCAGCACAGGTCACTCTGCTGCACCCCAAAGCCTCGTCACATCACCGACAGGAAGAGATCTGCCCAGTGTAAGCTGAGAAATGGAGGGTCTCAATTTTGTAGGAAAATGACATCCCTCACTTTTTCTGTGTTCAGTGCTGGAAAAGGGGCTCAGCCAGAGCCTAGGAAGCGTGCAAGGGGCCAGAGCAGGTACAGGCAGGCAGGGAGGGGCTGCAAGGGGGACCTGCCCTGTGCACCCAGTGCCTGGTCAACAAGGGCCACGAGCCCAGCTCCAGGATGGGTGGGATGAGACCAGAAGAAGATGAAGGGAGTGAGTTCTCAAAAGTCCCTGAACCAGTGGCCACCACCCTGAGCTGCCTTGTCGCTATCCCTGTGCCTCGCAGGGAGAAAGGGAGCAGAGTGGGGCAGGCACCCAGTGTCACCCACCTGAAGACAAAGGTTCCTCCAGCTCCATGGCCCAGCACATCCTTGGGGTTAAAAGAAACTTTCCCAACTACAACCAGGTCTGGTTCTGCATCTGCAATGGAGAGAAGACAGCCACCTTCCAGCCTCCAAGCATTAGTTCTGTATAGAGGACAGAACCATTTCATTTGGCCATTTCTTGGGCCCTACTACTCTTATGTAGCCTACGCTTATCCAGCAGCAGATCTGGCACCTTTTCCCATCCCAGCTGGGCTGCAGCCCTCTCCTCTGAGGGCATCCCTGCACCTGCTCTGGGTGCTGGCATTTCTGGACAGAAATTCCCCCTGCACCCACCTTCCTCAGCCCCTGGGACAGCTGGCTCTGGGCTGACTGTCCCGTTAGCTGAGTCCTTCAGGGAGGCAGAGGGGCTGGAGCTCTGTGAGAGCTCTGAGGCCCTGCCCTGGCTCAGCTCCAGCTCCCTGGGCTCCTCAGGGACGCCCTCCCTGGAGACTCGGCCGGAGCGCAGCATCTCCTGCTGCTGCTGCAGGAGCTGTATCTGCTCCTCCAGCTGCTGCTGCTGGGCCACATGCTGCCGCTGCAGTTTCTGGAACAAAAACATGGGAATACTCAGAGCCTGGAGCCACGCTGGGGCGTCGGCTCCGCTCTCCCTCTCCCCCCACCACCAGCACTCACTGTGAGCAGCAGGACCAGGATTCCCCCGCCCAGCAGAGCCGTGCCAACGCCAGCCATCACCAGGTCCCAGGTGCCAGACTCGGGGTACACCTCCACCTGCTCCCCCGGCGTGGGGTCTGGCTGGAGCTGCTGCTCGCTGCGGACAGCTGGCTCCTCCGGGCTGCTCGGGGCCAGGAACTGCAACACACACCCAGGGCTGGGTGAGGCACAGCCCTCAGGGCACTTGGGTTTGGGACTTCCTTCCTGTCCTGTCCCGTGCTGGGGACCCACTGCACCCCAAGCAGCACAGACCCTTCAGTGAGCCAGCAGCCTTCACCACTCACATCGTCAAACACGGTCCTGGTGGGAGGAGCCCTGGGGATGATGGTTTCCGTGGTTTTCCTCAGGTTCTCTGGGAAGGCTCGCAGCATCGTGGTGTGGACCAAAGGAGGCAGCTCATGGTGCCCTGTGGCAGGAGGGGAACAGAGACAACCCTCAGTTCACATCTTGGTTTCAGCATCCATCCCTTGCCAGCAGCCCTGGCTCTCCTGGAGTAGGGGGGTTGCTTCTCATGGGTAAATGTGAGCCCTGCTTCAAAGGGTCCCTGCCCACCCCTGCACGGGGTGTCTGGCAGTCACTCTTGGGGAGGGGACAAGGAGGGACTGAAAAGAGTCCCAAGAAGGAAGGGACAAGGAGGAGCTGAAAGGAATCCCAAACCAGCACCACCACAGCCCGAGGTGACACAGCCTTAATCCCATTCACCCCACTGGGCAGAGCAGGTTGGCCTACTGCCCCTAAAGCACAGCAGCAGCTCGGGGTGCTCCCCTCCAGGCACCACCTGGGAGCCAGGACATGGGTGAGTCTGTGCCTACCACGGCTCCGCACCTATGAGGAGCCACTGGTTGGGAGGTGAGGCAATGCTGCCCTGCGGGTACTTGACGTCCGTGCTGGGCATGATCTCGCACTCCCCGGACTCCCTCATGGTCACGTCGTCCGTGGTGGGGCCGTCGATCCTGGCCAGCGTGATGCCCTGGGGCTGGGGACGTGGCAGCTCGTGGGGCACCAGGCGGCTGGACGTGCCGTGGTGGCTCCAGCGGGGCAGGGGGACACTCACCACCAGAGCCACGCTGCCGTGCACCAGGGAGGTCACGGCGTAGAAACTGGTCGTGTGCTTTCCCACGTAGAGCGCCGGCCTGCAGGGCAAGGACAAGCATCACCTTCCATCCCTCACGGATGGCTAAGCACAGAGAACATGAATGCCACTGACTGCCACCGCTCAGGAACCACGTACAGCAGCTGGGTCTTGGTGGCAGCGAAGTCCTTGACGGACTGGTAGCTCCACTTGAGGACATGGATGTCCTGTGACTGGAAGGTCAGATAGCGCAGGGTCTCCATGGCCAGGTTGAGGTGGGGGAGGCGGCGCAGGCTGTCCTGGTGCCACAGGTAGATGCCAACCACAGGTGAGCCGTAGTTCTGTGCCCACAGGACCTCCCCGCTCTCCTTGTCCAGGGTCACCACCAGCCCGTCCCCGCTTGAGGCCAAGTGTGCCATTTCTGGAGAGAGCAAGAGGGATGAGGGCTGTGTCTCCTCTGGTCACCCCCAGTCCTGCCACTGGCCATGGGCTGCTGCCTGTTCTCCCCAGCACTGGGCACAGCTGGGACCTGCTGGCCCTGGCACTGTCACCCCAGGCCTCTGCACAGCCAGAGTCCTGCTGTGAGTGGGCACTGGGGAGCTGGGTGCCATGACTGCCACGGCTCCCTTGGCTGCTGCAGTTCACTCACTGTAGTGGTAGGACTCCTCGCAGAGCGGGGCAGAGTACTCGGAGAAGGTGGCATTCCAGCGCAGCTCCCGTGACTTGGTGTCATACATGGTGATGACGTACTCTGGGGACAGGAGCAGGGCACTAGGTCACCTCCAGTGCCCCCCTCCTGTCACCAGGTGGTCGGTGGGGGCACTTACGGGTCCGTCCGATGTAGAGCAAGGGGCTGGACGGGCACAGACCATCCCAGGCCTCTGTTGAGAGGGTGGTCTGCTTCTCCCCTGACTTGGGGTCCACAATGAACCAGGTGTCCTGCTTCTTCCCTGAGAAGGAAAATACCTTCTTTGCAAGCCCCTGCAGCCCCCTGTCCCCAGGAGCTCCCGCTGAGCCCCTGCCGTGGCCCTGCAGGGCTCCCGGAGCCCCGGGCAGCGCCGTCCCGCGCCCCGTACCGGTGTAGAGCACTCCGTCCGAGCTGCGGCACGGCGAGGACTGCACCAGCTCCGGGATGGTGAACGGCAGCTTCTGCAACACAGGTGCAGGGCAGAGTCACCTCTGCAGCCCAGGGCACCCCAGGGGCTCAGAGGATGCCCACAGCCCCACAGCCCTACTGACCATCAAACCTTCTTTGTTCTTTCCTCCCAGGATATACAGGCTGCCGTCATTGGGGTCTGGAAGGAATGCTGGCCTGGGAAGCACAAGAGGAGGATAAAACATGAGCTACCCCCTGCCCTGGGCACCTCCAAGGACACAGAGCAGCTACACTGCAGAATCCCCTTTAGCAGTTTGCTCTGGGCTGAGTCCCTGCAGGACCTGACCTTTCCTGGACACCTGCAGCACTGGATTTGGCAGGAGATAAATCCCACTCTGGTCAGTCCTGGGACTTCCCACAGCCACCCAGTGCCCACCCACCAGGCTGGTGAATGCCCTGCCTGTCTCAAGGAGCTCTTGCTGCCCTGCCTGCCCCTCAGCTTTCAGGGGGATTTCCCTCTATTTCTCTCCATGCTGGTGTGTGTAGTTGAGCTGAGAGCTCCTCGGCTGTGCAGCAGGTGCCAGCTCCTCCTCATCACCACGTGCCACGTGCCAGCACCAGGTCAGGGTAAGGTGATGCCACAGCATGGGCTGGGCATTTCATTTCTCTGTGGTGCCCCTTTCCTGCTGTTGCTCCATCAGTTATCAGGAAGCCTCCTGCACTGCCCAGTGGGGGTGACACTCACTCTGCCACATAGACCGGCACCTGCAGAATGGGATCTGAAACAGAGAGTGAGAGGCCACATCAGCAGTGCTCCTGTGAGTGGGACAGCACAACACCACTGTTTACCCAGCGTGGCACTGTCACCCAGCCCAGCCACGCAGCCTGTTTGCCTTTCAGAGCCAAAAGAGACACCAATGGCAGATACTCATCCGTGCTCAGCTGTGCCTGGGGCTGGGGCTGGCAGCGCACCCCTGGAGGCACTGGCAGCCCGGAGCCCATCCAGCAAGAGCCAGGCCAGGAGAGCATTCCCAAACCCCAAACATGCTCCAGGAGCTAGGCTATAAGCAAATACCCCCCAGTCACTACTCACCATCCTTCAGGGTCCACTTGATGTCCCCTGTGCTCTTGCTGACGGCATGGAGGTTCCCATCCAGCGTGGAGACGAAGAGCAGCGTTTCTGGGACAGTCACAGCACCACCTTTGAGGCTCTAGGACAGACACACCGTCCTCAAGAGATCAGTCAGACTTGAGAACAATCCCCCAGCCTGGCTCCTCTGTGCAGCTCAGCTCCTGGGGTAGCTGCACCCTCAGTGACCAGCACCACCCGCAGCTATGGCCCCTGGCTCCCATCCCACCAGAGCCATCCTGGGGCTGGAGCAGCCTTCCCTCTCCCTTCTCTCCCTGGAACAAGTTTTCCCACAGGTGGGATGAATTGCAGTGTGGCTGTTCCCAGTCACAACCCTAGATGCCTTTCTAAAGGTGACAAGAGCAGCCCGACTGTCGGCTCCTTCCAGAAACAAACAAGTCTGGTGACTTTTCATGCCAGAGAAGTGATGATTGCTTGCTCAGGCCTTCAGAGCTGCAGGTTTCAGCTACCTGACATTGAGGAAGTAATTGCAAATTCACCTGGGAAGAGGAGCTGCTGCTTCCACGTATGGCGTCTGCATAGCGAGTGCCAGCTCAGCCAGTGCCACACATGCCAGCCTCACCCTGTCAGCAAACAGGGATGGGCAAACAGCACGGGACCCACATGGCTCTGGCACTCCCTGATGCCAGGGATTTGGCAGCAGTGCCTGAGCCCCTGGCTGGCTAAGATTAGCGTGAGAGGCACAAGGACACCCCTGGAGCCCAGCCCCTCAGTAGTCCCCTCGCTGCTCTGGGAGCCTGAGCTGGCAGAGCCTGTCCCAGGGGCCTGTCCTGGCTGTGGAGCAGGGACCAGCCAGCAGCCTGTGCCCAGCCAGGACCTGCATGCGAGTCTGAGACCATTTGCAGAGCAGAACCTGGCAGTACTAGAGTGGCTGTGGCACGGCAGGGCCAGGAAATTCCTTCAGCTGCAACAAAGCACAGAAACACACACCATCTCCCTCACAATGCACCTCTATCTCTACGCCTCCAGCCCAGTTCTTTTATTTGCACTTCTTTTTGCTTAATTTTCAGGTGAGGTCAGAGTGAGTTTCCCCGCCCTGGCTTTGCCCAGAGGCCATGGCAGGGGCCTGCTCCCCACCAGGGCTCCTCCAGCCCCTATGGCCTTGCAGGTGGCATTGCTGCCGGCTGGGGACACGCCAGGCTGGCAGACATGGGCTTCTTGCAGTGTGCTCTTCCCACCTGCCCGGGGGAAACTGAGACTGCTGGGCCCCCCCAGCTGTCAGGGCTCTCTGCATCCTTCCCCCCGAAGCGCTGGGGTTTTTCCATCCCTTCTGCAAGTGTTTTGGTGCCAGGGCACTCGGGCAAAGGCCAGGCTGCCTGGCTGTTCCCCATAAACCACCATGGGCAGAACTGGGAGCGCTGGATGCCTGGGAGCTGCCACCCTCCCCCTGGTCCCAGCCCCAGCCACAAGTGTGGCTGTTCCCACGGGCTGTGCTTTCCCGAGGTTCCACCACAGCACTCTGGGCTCTGCAGTGATGCCACTGGGGCCAAGCTCAGCCGTGGGCTTGGGGCACACTCGTTTCCCCAGGGATGGATAGAGAGGGACGGCCAAGTACAGACAGAAACTCGGTGCCAGCATCCCCTGCTTCCTCCACTGAAGCAGCTCCAGCCGTGTAACCCAAAGCCACGCTGGCACGCTGCCTATCCACTTGAACCGCCACCAGCTGCAGGAGCTGCATCCGGCTCCGAAGGCGCCACCCTGACAGGCAGCAGCTCCGCGGGCAGGACCGGGCGGGAGGGGGCCGAGGGCACCCGGGGAAGGGGACACCGCTGCCGGCCACAGCCAGGGCCGGGGGTGAGGATGGAGAACAAGCTCCGCTCCGGGTGACAGCCCGGCGCTCCATCGCACAGCGACCAACGCCCCCCAGGCACGGCCGCGGGCCCCCCGGCAGCATCCCGGCCCCGCGGGCACCACGGCCCCTCACCCGCACCGCGAACACCTCGCGGGTGCCCCGGCCGAGGGCCGAGCCCCGCTCCCCGGTGTCACCCGCGGGACGCTCCCGCCCGCGCTGCCGCACCTGCCCCGAGCGCGGGGCGCCCCTGTCACACCCCGGGCGCCAAGTGCGGTGTGCTCCCGCAGGACACGCGGGGCACAGCGAGCACCGGCTCACACCGGGAGCCACGCGGGCACCGCGCTGTCCCCTCCGGGCGCTGTCCCCTCCGGGCGCGGTCCCCTCCGGGCGCGGTCCCCTCCCGGCGCTGTCCCCTCCGGGCGCTGACCCCTCCGGGCGCCGCTCCCCCCCGGTTCCCGACCGTCTGCACCGCGGGAGGAGCCGCCCCCGCGGGCAGCGCACGCCCCCGCATCGCCCCGCCGCGGGACCGGCCCCAGCCCGGCCGCGGGCACCGCGCCGAGGACAGTTCCTCTCGCCGGTAACGCGGGGCGAGGCCCTCCCGGTAACGCGGCGGAGGAGCCGGCTCCTGCCGCCCCCCGTGTGCCGGGAGCCCTGCCCGGGGGCTGCGCTGGGAGCCCGCCTGACGGAGTGCGGGACCGAGCGGCAGGGCACACCGGGACCGCACCGCCAGCGGGAGCCTGCCCGCGGGCACACGCTGGAGAGCCCCGCGAGCTGCGGCTGCTGGCCTGGGATGGGTTCGGCTGGGGACAGGAGGCGTCTGAAGGCGGAGGCGAGGCCGAGCAGGCCGGTTCGGCACGGCAGTCCCGAGGGTGCTGAGCCCAGCGCTGGGGCTGCTCCGAGCACAGCCGGGCTGTTCAGGGGGAGTGGGACTGACACCGCAGCCAGCCAGCCCAGCAGGACCAGTCTCGGTGCAAGGGCAGATTAAAGCCCGGCTCGGGGCAGGGAGGTGGAGACCATCCCGTAACTCACAGCCCGTGCGTGTGCAGCGGCACAGGGCAGCAGAACCCAAATCCTCACCGCGGGACATGGGCACTCGTGGCTTTGACATGTCAGCAGGTGTAGGGTCCCCTGAACTTTGACCCGTGTCCATCTTCCTGCAAAGAAACTCACTACAAACCCTTTGCTCACAGTTGTTCGTGCAGCAGGAAGCAGCTCAGTACATACAGAATATTGAAACACTCAAACACAGAAATACTTAATTATCAAACTTTAATTCATAAGACTAATCTTACAGAATAAAACACCAGGATAACCAGTCAAGGTTACACTTAAAAAAATCCAGCAGTGCAAATCTAAGACTAAATATTTGTCATCTCCCTCCCCCCAAAATAGGCAATAGATTATTTAAAAATACCATAATACATGGTACTCACATATTCCATTTAAAATAAATCTGCAGTGGACACAAATATCTAAGTTGGTTTTTTAAAATACAAAACCAAAGAATTAATCGCTTTGAGTATGGATAAGACAGAGTGAACTTCCATGAGCTACCAAGGCGAGTCCTTGGCTAGAAGGTAGAATGGCCACGTTTCATACAAGCCTTGCTAGGGCTCTCCTGTCCCCGCTCCCCTCCGGTGACAAGGACATTAACAAAACCAGAACAGCTGGAGAGAGGCTGCTGGACAGAACTGAGGGTGCAAACGGCTCCACTGGAAACACCAAGTAACAAAGGAAGAAAAGTAAAGGAAGGGGAGGCTGGAAACAAGCCCTGCAAGGACGGAGCAGGGGGAGCTGTGCCAGGCAGCGGCGGGGTCAGGACGGGGCTGTGGGCAGGGGTGCAGAGCAGACCCCGCCGCGGCACCTGGGCACGGCAGCAGCAGGGAATTGTTTCTCTTTGGCCCTTAGAGCACGGAGCAGTGGGCACCAGCCAGCAGGTGCAAGCTGGGCAGGGCGTGCGTGGCACCAGCACAGTGTGGTGGTGGTGATGGTTTATTTCCTTTGAATCCAGATCGCTCTCTTCCATCACCAGAACACCCTGACTGTAGTTACACATTCCTCATCAACATCATTAATGGAAATTAATAATTTACTTTAAACTCGGTATGAAACCGTGTGAGTAACACAAGCTCTTCATGCAAGACAGCCTCTGTTCAAACCCCAACCAGGCTGAGCAACAACACCACTTCATTCCCAAGGAAGCAGTGATCCTGGGACTGCTCACACTTGGGATGCACACAGAGGAAAGAACACTGAACTTGGGACAAGTAGAGGAGGAGAAACCTGCAGTGCTGGGCACAGAGAAGGGGAAGGGATGGCACACAGGTGAGCTGTGATACTCGGTGTCGTGGAACAAGGTAGGGAGGGAGCTGGGGGACCAGCAGGAGGAATCCCAGGATGGCAGCAAGGAGGGGACACTGCCTGGGCTCTGGGAACAGCAAACGCCAGCTGTGTCCTGCAGGGACCTGCATTTGCCTCACCAATACTTTAACCTGCAATTAGCAAGCCCAGAAAACACTCAGTGCAACCTCATACGGAGTGGCACCCCAGGGTGCTCCCGGGAATCACACCTACACACAGCAGGAAGCTGCTGAGAGCACCCTGTTAAATTGTGATTTAACAGAAATACACATCTGTGCAGCTGGCACTGGTAGCAGAATCATCTTTATCAGCAACTCCGAGTGTACTCACCCTTTACTCACACACAGTCTCACTGAGGACCGCTGGTTATGCTGAGTCTCCCTTGGGATGGTCACAGCGACCAGAGAGCAAAATCCAAAGCCAAGAGAGAGGCAGGCAATGGCTGAGAGGCAACTGTGGCACTATCTCACTAAAAAGAGGGTGTTTCTTAATGTAACTGCCTTGGAAAAACTGGTGTATGCCAGAACAGACACAACTCCACATCATTCCCAAAGAGAAAGGATCTTAAAAGCAGCACTGCTAATTTCAACTAGAACACTCATTTCAAAGAGGTCCCAAGAAGCCTGGGATATTGAGCCAACAAACACCAACTAAAGCATTTATAAGTCACTTTCCTGTATTTTAATTCAAATTTTGCACATAGAACAAAAAAATGAGACAATTTCATTTTTCCAATCAAACCCAACCTGCAAGGAAGCACCTAAACAGGATCACATTTTCTTAGTGTGTAGTATTTTCTTCATGTGTAAAATCTGTATGCAGCCAAGGGGTTTGTGCTGAGTCTCCTTTGAGCTGCTGGGCTGTGCCCCTGGCACGGGGTGTGACGCTGCCCTGTGCCCCTGCAGGGTCAGTGCCTGTCCCTGCTCACCCCAGAGTTACTCACCCGGTCCTGCACAGAAGCCCCAGGAGCTGGGGAGGAGCTGGAACTCGGGCACCAGGGCACCACAACTGCTCCTGCCCTCCCCAGGAGCAAGGGGGTGAAGGAACAGGAAAGGAAACAGAACACAAACAGATGCACAGACAGGTCTGAGCACGCTGAGGAACAAATGGGAGCTGATCATCACAGAACCAGCAAGGTGCCAAGTGCCAGTGTGGCCCCAGGTGACAGAAAGAGCCAGTGTCACCCCTCTGCTTTATCCTGTAGTGCCCACACCTTCCACCAGGTAGCAAATTGTTAACTTCAGCCTTAACACCAGGACTGACAACTAGGAGGAAATCACAAGTGTGATGGCTGCGTTTCAACCAGGACATTGCCACCAGGAAAGCCAGGCCAGCTCCTCTCTGCCCCACTGCTCCAGGGGACACAGCTCTCCAGGACACACTGCTGCTGGCTTGTACACAGAAAGGAGATACCCCAAGCTACAAGACTAACAAGCACATCACTAGTTTTAATGCAGGATATGAAACACCTTTGAAACTCATATTGCGTGGCTGCTCAAACAGAAAATACAAACTAAAAGCTGCTATCTAGATGCTGCAGGGAAATATGTGACCTCAACACCTACCAGAAAGCCAATGTGTTTTCCAGTCTCTCAAGTAAAATAAAAGTAAAAAAAAATGCTCATTTGGGAATTTGCACTGCTGTGCTTCAACTGGGCTCTTCCCTCAAGGAGTGGGAAGAGTGGACATGGAACAAGTTCAGATTAGCTGTTTCTGCATGGCTTTGAGCTGCTGGCATGGAGCAGCACTGAGCCCCAGTGCTCAGTGATGCAGAGCAGGGATGTGTGAGCTGCTCCAGTCTGGCTGCACACTGCCACCTGCTCTGGGCTCTGCACCTGTGCAGGGCTGAGGGCTCTGTTCAGAACACCTGAGAGAAATGGCACATGGATGGCTGGCATGACACACAGAGCATCACAGCCCCAGGCACAGCACGTTCCTTCTGACAGAATGAGCTGTGAGGGCTTCTTGTGAACTGGAACAGGAGAAAAGCTGGAAGGTGATTTACGTTTCAAAACTTTACTTGCTGGATGGTCAATCTAAAGCACAATTCACTGAATTCAATCACTACAAATTTTCAAATCCAGCTCACAAAAGACTGCTGCTGTTATTAAGAATCCAAAACAGCATCTGAGCTTCTCTCTTCCTTACTGCCCCCAGCCCAAGCAGGGCAGAAGGTCTCTGTGGTCCCTCCCTTTGGGGGATCTGTGTGCCCCCGCTCCCACCAGGCAGCGTTCGGTGCTTCCATCCATGTCCATGTCACCGTGTCCCCTGCTCACAGCAGCAGCACAAGGGTGCTCCCAGTCCAACAGCTCAGTGTCAACGCAGCAGCTGCAAAACGATCCTGGACTGCAACATGCACGAGCAAGACAATGCTCCCAAAATGCAGCAGCCCAGGGCAGGAGGTGAAGCACTGACTGGGCACGAGAGGGAGCAGCACGCGGTCACCGTGACAAAACATCCCTGCAGAATTCACCTGCTCCAAACACGCTACACAGAACAACCTGGAGCTGCCAGACTCGGGAAAAGGCCAGGAAAAATCCCAAACAAGCAGGGCATCTTTGGGTTCAAACAAAGAATTAGTTCTGCTACCAAGGAGTGGAAGCTGCCCTGGAGGGCATGGGATATGGCTTCACCGACAGCGAGGCTGTGCACTGCTACAGTTAGCTCTGAAAGATCTGCCCTCAAAGTCCCAGTCACACCAAGTCACTAAAGTAAGTCTAATGCTGATAACTGAGAGATTATGAAAATATTTGGTTTTGTTCAAACCATGTAAAAAATCCTCGATAATACATTGTAATATTTTCTTTTTAGAACTAAACTGGAAGATCAACTCTCAGCAGATTTAAGTGTATTACACACAATATTTTGTGAATTAAGATTTATTGATTTCCATTGTATTTGCTTTAAATATGGTTGAAGCTGACTGCAGAAAAGGGATGGTGAAATCTTTAAGTTAAAAGTAAACTAATGGTGAAAGAACATCACCTCTGGCTTCCATCCATGCCTCGTTTAGCATGTTTTAATAATAAGTTCCAGGACTGTCACATCCAGGGATGTTGGAGGCCTCTCCCAGCAGTGTCCTTAGATTTGTGTCATTTTCCTGTGCCAGAGGTGAGCGTGCTTTCAAAAATACTGCCACTTCCCCAGCACCGTGTCTTTGATTGCATCGACATACTGAGTTGGGACCCAATAGACCCAGTAGTAAGATGCTTCTGTTGGGCCCAGCTGAAATGCCTGCAATTAAAAACGACAACATTTACACACGAGAACAAAGAGCTGGTCCCAGTGGACAGGCACAGCTCATCCACTGCCAAACCAGACCAGCCTGTCCCACCTGCTGCTCCCTGCAGCACTCGGGGCATTCCACAGCTCTTTGGTGGGCAATTACAGGAGAGTGCAGAGAGCAAGAGCTGCAGAGCGCGGAGGAAACCGTGAGCTCTTCCCTTTCACAACAGCACAACAGTAACCAGAACTCCTGGACTCCTGGCCAGTTTCAAGAACATGAGGAAATCATTCTGGTAGACAGCCTGAAGCATAACTCAGTCTCTAAAGAAACGTCAGAGCTGAGAAGCCAAACAGGATCTAAACAAGACAATGACCATGTTTTTATAGTCATAGGATTTGATATTTAGACATGATGTCCTATTCTCAACTTCTCTCCTACGCCCAGGAGAGGGGCACCACGGCATGCCAGAGCCTCTGCCCTTGCTGTGGGGTGAGGTTATTGCAACACGTGCTGAAGAGGACCTCTTCTCACACGGGTGATCAAAAAGCAAGTATTTGGACAGAGACTAGAGCAGCACCCTCCTGCAGGCCATGGCTTTAAGGAAATACATTTCCCTTTCCTCCCCCTAAAGAAGGAAACAAACTTCTTATAGAAAAGAAACTTACTTCAACGTCAGAAGTTAGTTACTGTACTTTGAAAAGCAGGATCTTAAAAAAAGCCATGGATTAAAATAAACAGCCAAAATTTCAGTACATTACCACAGTTCTCTTCTGAAATATAACTTTGCTAGAGCCCATGTGAGTTGTTCAGAAAATTACAGGTGTGAAAAGACATTACAGCATCAAATTCTTTTTTTCTTAACCTCCATCAAGGCCTGTTGTTCATATAAATACCCCAGAATCTAGAAATTAAACCAGGTACCAAAAATATCCCTACCATTAAGAAATCATGAGCTATGTTGTGAGCATGTTTACTGGTTTAACACTGTCACAGGCAGAAGGTACAAAATAATACTTAAGCACTTCATGTTTGTGTGAAAACACTCTGGATTTCCACACAGCTGCAGATATTCAGTTTGGACCCAGAATACTGACAGTGTGAAGGAGCCCGTGTGCCCCTCTGCACAAGGCTGGAACCACCACCCAGCCTGCTCTGAGCTGCAGCCTCAGCAGGGTGTGCTGCACGAAGGAATCAGATGGATATGATTAAAGTAGAGCTGTTACTCACCATCATGTGATAATCCTCATGGCCTTCAATAGGTTCACTCACCACATTTTTAATGGACCCCATGGGTAACTTTTCTGTTCTCTCTACATTAAAATTGATCAAAGTATTATTTCTGACATGCGGGGAAGCAGTATTTCATATTCATTTCATACACCACCTCCATTAATGCCAAAATCTCCTCAGGTCAACAGAAAATAGGGAAAGAAACCAGTAAGAGAAACTGAAGCCCCAAAAAGACTACAATGGAATTACATGGCAGAGTAATGTCAGCAACCAGAGGCAATGACAAGAGCCACAAAGGTCCAGGGCAGAGCTTTCCTGTCAACTCTGTCTCACTCCTTTCTGAACACTCAGTTCCAAAGTCCTGCCTTTCCCTTCAAGCATCCAGCACCAGCCAACAATTATCTTCTCTGATACAAGACAGAGAATACCCAAAACACTTTACAAAGGAGAAACTGAACTCTGAGTTCTTGAGATAGATCTATTTAATCTGTGATGCAAAAAACCCCAAACCTACCTACAGAAGGCACACAGGGAGACAAACGCAGTGATATAAGGAAAAATATTCTCTGCCTCTTAACTGAGCTCACTCTGAACTACCTGTTCAGACCTGTGACTTCATTCATGAGGTAAAACCCCATTTTGCCCTTGTTTAGCATCCCCCAAATACATTTCTGCTCTGAGTATCCCAGCAACAGACAAATCCCATGATCCATGCCTCTGTGCAAGTGGCACTGAGCAGCTGGGGAACAGCTGCCTGTGCCAAACTTCAGCCTGCAAACACCTGCACAAGCTCCTGTGAGGCTGCAGGGCTGGGGGTAAAACCAGCTCCAGCTCTCCCGGGCCAGCAGGTGACAAGCTGTGTCCACACCCAGATGTGTTTACTCCAGCCCTTACCTGCTGGCCTCTGCCATGGGTTTCTCAGAGGAGGAAGGAGTTTTTCCCAGTAACAGCCAGCAATTACAGCCATTCCCTAGAGGCAGCAAGCTGCTGCTAATTCGGGGCAGCAGGGAAACAGGTTACAGGAAACACATGACTACAAGAAGAATCAAATTCACAGCTTAAGCAATACCATGTAGAACACCTCAGAAACACTATACTTGAAAACTCATCCGGGGGGTGATGGAAGAGATTAATCACCTAGATACTAAGCATGGATTTAGAACCTGGGATCAGAAATAGAAAAATCTGCCTGCCCAACCTACAGAGTTAAAAACACCCCCAAAGCCTTGCTCCATCACTTTGCCCAGGAGGAAATAATTGCAACTGGCACCAAGAGAGGTTTTAAAGCCAGAAAAAATCTTCACAGTCAAGTCTGTCCTACAACGAAAGGGTCAAAAACTTTTGGGATTTCTGCTACTTTGGACCTACTGTAGCAGCTGGAGGCAGGATAACCACCCAACCAGGCTGCTTTAGTGGGACAGTGAGCAAGCACCTTCATCCCTCTTGCTCATCACTGTACATTGCCCAGCCCAGTCCAGCTGAAGGAGCACAGCTTCCTTGGCAGGTGGGGGGTCCCAGTGTCCCCTTCAGCCCCAGCAACTCAGCACCACACAGCCACTCACTCCCCCTGCCCTGCTGGGACGGGGAGGAGAACTGGGAAAGAAGTAAAAAATGCACGGTTTGAGCTAAGAACAGTTTAATAACTGAAATAAAATAAAATATACTACTACTACTAATGGTAATAATAATAGTAATTAAAAACTGAAGAAAGAAACTCCAGAGAAACCAGTGATGCCCAGCACAGCTGCTCCCCACTGCTGACTGATGTCCAGCCCGTGCCCCTTCAGTGACCAGGCCCTCCCAGCCAACTGCCCCCAGTTTATACTGGACATGATGCTCTGTGGTGGGAAATATTCTTTGGCCAGCTCTGGCCAGTTCCCTGCCATCTCCTTGCATGCCTCCCCACAGGCAGTGTCTGAGACACCAAACAATCCTTGACTGAGAGAAGCACAGCGCAGCAACAACCAAAACATCACTGTTATCAGCAGTGCTCCCACCCCCAATCCAAAACAGCTCCTGGGAGGAAAACTAACTCTATCCCAGCCACAACCAGGACACAGACACCCTCAGCAAGGCACGTCATCCCCAGCTCCTCCTGGCAGCACCCACACTGCACACCGAGCCCTCTGCACAGCACCACGGTTGTGCTTGACTGAGACAAGACACACACATAATTTTGGCTGGAAGGACAGAGTGCCAGAGATGCCAACACTCCCAGTTTCTATCCCAGCTCTGAGCTTTCCTTCCAAGTCCTGGCTAAGCCATTGGGCCCTGTGTACTGCTGGCATCAAATCCATGCTGCTTATGGAGTGCTTTGAGATGTGCCAGAAATGCCCAGTACCATCATTTACACTTGGAGCCAGGAGCAGCACTTTGGACCATGAGTCTGCTGACACCACTGAACTGCAGCTTTTCAGGAACTGATGTGGAGTATCAAGCACTATTCAATGCCCTGGGAGAATGGCACGTGAGGAAAGGAAACAAAGTTTTTGGAAGCGCTGCAATACCAACATCACTCCCTAACCACGGCTTAGTCAGAGGAGAAGCTTTTCTAGGTCACACAGCTCAGTCACAGCCCAACCACCAAGCGCTGACCCCGAGGCTGAGGTGCTCACCTTTTGTACCAATCCACAGCTGGTCCTGCTCGAGTTTGAAGGTCAGTCTGACTTTGCCCCCTGACTTGTTGTACATGCCGGACAGCGGCACCGTGGGCAGCCGCTCCTGCAACGAGACACAGCCAGTCACACCAGGCCTGGCACCAAACACAAGCTCTAAGCTCTTTAAGCATAAGGAAACCCATCCCTCCAGCTTTCTGCTACAGCAACAAACCACTGAACCAGTGGGGAAGGGTCTCAAAGCACAGAGTCTCTTTTGTGACTCTGAGTGCCTCGAGACCTCAGCACGCACCTGCACGCCTTTGACAGACGGCATCACATCGTCGGGTTTTCCTTTGTCCAACACTTTTCTGTGTTGCTACAACACAAAAACAGAAATTAAATTCACAGGAACGTTACCAAGTCTGCGGTGTACTTCCAGCTGTCCCCTGATCACATCCCAATGGCTCTGAGACAGCTGAGGGCTGTCCACAGGCACTGCTCACACGGGCATCCGTGACCTTCAAACCTCAGTGTGCACCTTCCAAGACACCCTCAAGAAACATCAAAATGAGTGGAATCCAAGATAACGCCAAGGATTACAGCCTTCTCAAATATGCACACAGAAAATCCAGAGTGTTACACCCAGTGAATGGCAGAAATTCTCCACGTGTGGCAGTGCACCGAGCCAGCAGGGATCAGAGCACAGGTAACTTTCAAATCCACACTCACAGCTTGTACCTGGCTGAGCACCTCTGAGAAATGAGTGTGAACTGTGACAAATCACAGGAAAACATCAGCATGCTTCATGCAGGCACTACTTAATTTTAACCAAGTTTATTTTGAGGAAGGTACAGGGCTGGTAACACCTTGAGCTGGCAATCCCCCAGCAGCCATCAAACCAGCCCCATGCACTGTGCTACAAGAGGTGAGAGGAGAATCCAACACCCACAGCCCTGTCAGGGGAGGGAACTGCTTTCTTGGTGTTTGCTTTGACCAGTGTTTGGAGATTCAATTCTTTTGTGCCAATAAAAATTAGTTAGGTTTGAGACAGACTTAATCTGGGTTGTGTTTGCACTAACATCCATCAAATGTTTCCATTTTTGGACCAAAACGCTTGGCTGTGCCTGGCACCACAAGCAGTGTCTTGCAAAGCCCCAGTCCCTGCTGGACTAATCAGTTCTGTGCTACTCCCCTGCCCAGAGTCCCTGCAATGCTGAGCTGCCAGCAATGAACCCCCAGGCTGATCTGAGGGGGAACAGGACCCACAAGCACCTGCAGAAGACCCACGCAAATCCGACCCAGCCATTATTGAGACACTCATTACCTTTTGTCTGCAAAGCGGCTCCTTTTTGTTTTCCTCAGCCTTGACCTCCTGCTGAGCAGCTTCTTTGGGTGTATTTACTGCTAGCACATCGTTGATGGTAGAGCCCACGACCATTATTTTGGCTCCATTTGTGACTTTGATCTCCCGCAGGGTTTTCTCCTCGGGCAGCAGTCCCTTGAACATCACCTTCTGCATGGCCGGCGGGAGGCCTAGAGGCAAGCACAGCACAGGTTAGGAGCGGCGGGGAGGGGGCGCGGGGGGCGGCGGCCGCACACACCTGTGAGCGAGTGGATCTTCTGCTTCAGCTCGGCCCCCGTGCTGTCCAGGCAGAACTTCACGTCGTACTTGTTCTTGTTCCAGATCACCTTCAGCTCCACCAGCTCCCTGCCGCTCTCCTCGCCGCCGCCGTTGCTGACGGACGCCCGCGGGGGCTCCCGCCGCTCCTCGCCCTCCGGGGACCTCCCCGCGGCCGGCGAGCCGCCCCCTCCGCCGCAGCCCAGCGGCAGCTCCTGCGCCTCCGCCTCCATGCCCGGCTCCTCGGCACCTGCGGGGAGCGGACAGGAAGATCCGGGCCCACGGGAGGCTGCCCCGGCCCGGCCCCGCTGCAGCCCCGGAGCGCCGCCCGCAGCGCGTCCGGGGCCGGCTCCCCGCGCCGCCGCCTCCCGGCCCGGCACCGCGGGCTCTCAGCACCGCGGGCTCCCGGCACCGCGGGCTCCCGGCACCGCCATGTCCCGATACCGCGGGCTCCCGGCACCGCCAGGTCCCGGCACCGCGGGCTCTCAGCACCGCGGGCTCCCGGCACCGCGGGCTCCCGGCACCGCCATGTCCCGACACCGCGGGCTCCCGGCCGCGCTCGTACCATCAGCGGCGGCGGCGGCGGCCATGATGATTGTGTACAATCCGCCGCGGGGCACGCCGGGAAACGCTGCCGCCGCCGCTGCTGGGCCGCGCCGGCTCCCGTAGTCGCCCCCGCCCGCCTCTCAGCGTGGGGGCGGCGGAGTCCCCCAGATCGCGGCCCCGCAGCACCGGCCGCGTCGCGCCGGGAGGCGGGACGGAAGCCGGACCCTCAGCTCGGCGCTCCGGGCACCGGAACTCCCCCACGCTGCCGGGCCCGTGGCGGCGGCCGCGGTCCCCTGGCGCGACCGGACGAAGCGGGTGGCGGCGCCTTTAAGGGAAGCCCCGCCCCCGGCGGCGGAGCGCGCGTGGATTGGCTGCCGCGGCCGGGCGGAAACGGCGCCGCGGCCACGTGGGCGCGTGGCGGGATGGCGCGAGCTCTGCGCGGGCTGCGCTGCGCGGCGGCACCGGGACCGGGATCAGCACCGGCCCCGGGATCGGGACCGCGGGTCCGGTTCGGGCCCAGCCCCACAGGTAACCGACCCCTCGGCAGCCCCGCCCCTGCCCACCCCGGGGCTGCGCTGCGCCGGGGCGGGGCTTTGGGTTGGAAAACATAAATTCTGGCTCCGGAGGGGCCCGTGGGCTGCCGGCTGCCCCGAGGGCTCCCGCCGGGGCTGCGGGGCTCGCCCTCCCGGCGTGTCCCGGTGCCTCCCGGCCGTGCGCCGCCTTGTCAGGCGCTGCCGCTCCCTCCAGGGACTGTCGGGCGGCCATCCATGAGTTGCGTCCGGAGGCACTGCCCGGAGCTGGGGGTGCTCCGGGGTGCCGCTCCCGCCCCGGTGCCGCTGCCGGCGCAGGCAGCGTCCAGCGCCCTTCCAGCTCACATTTAGAACTCTTCCCTGGCTCTCCTTTGAGACCGCCTCCTCTAATTTCCCCACGATTCCAGGTTTTCTGCATTTAGGTGGCCTTAGGACAGCTTTGTACAATTATATCTTTGCCAAAAAACACCAAGGGACCTTTATTCTAAGAGTGGAGGATACAGATCAGAATCGAGTGGTGCCTGGAGCTGCAGAAGGAATAGAAGATATGTTGGACTGGGCAGGTATTTAGAAACATCTTTCATTTTTCACATATTGAAACCTCACCTTTGCTGTAAAGGCTGAGTGCACTCAGCTGGAGGGCGGCTCTGGCTGCCCGTGGTGGGCTGTTTGGGCAGCCCGGCTGCTCACCGCTGCCGTGCCGCTGTTGCAGGCATTCCCCCGGACGAGAGCCCCGGGCGGGGCGGCCCCGCCGGGCCCTACGTGCAGTCGCGGCGGCTGGAGCTGTACGGGCGGGCGGGCGCGGCGCTGCTGGCCAGCGGGGCCGCCTACCGCTGCTTCTGCAGCCCGCAGCGCCTGCAGCTGCTCCGCAGGGACGCGCTGCGCAGCCAGCACACCCCCCGGTACGTGTCCCTGTCCCTGTGTCCTGTCACCGTGTCCCTGTCCCCGTGTCCCCGGCTCACAGCCCCGCAGCGCTGCTGGCGCTGTCCCCGTGCCCGCAGGGGGAAGGTGTGTCACCCTGCCGAGATGAGCTGTTGGACTGGATGTGCAGTGGGAGGGTTGCAGCTGAAATTCGGGCATCTGCTTAGAGTTTTGGGAATGTAGAAGCGTGGTGGTGCTGGGCTGTGTTGGGCAGGAAGCCTGTGCTCTCCCCCCAGCTATGACAACCGCTGTCGGCACCTGACGCCCGCGGAGGTGGCGCAGAAGCTGTCCCAGGGCCTGGACTGCGTCATCCGCTTCCGCCTGGAGAAGGGCGTGGAGCCCTTCCAGGACCTGGTCTACGGCTGGAACAAGCACGAGGTGGCCGAGGTGGAAGGTGACCCCGTGATTCTCAAGGGGGACGGGTTCCCCACGTACCACCTGGCCAACGTGGTCGACGACCACTACATGGGCATCACCCACGTCCTGCGCGGCACCGAGTGGCTGGCTTCCACCTCCAAGCACCTGCTCCTCTACAAGGCCTTTGGCTGGGAGCCCCCTCGCTTTGGCCACCTGCCGCTGCTGCTGAACAAGGACGGGGGCAAGCTGTCCAAGAGGCAGGGGGACATCTTCCTGGAGCGCTTTGCTCGGGAGGGCTTCCTGCCGGAGGCTCTGCTGGACATCGTCACCAACTGCGGCTCGGGGTTCGCAGGTAGCACCACGGGCTCCTGCCTGCCAGGTCAGCCCATGCTGACTTCGTGGCATGGCCTGGGCTTATTTTAATAGCTGAGAACTTTGTTGGGGTTTGAAGGGCAGTCAGTCACTGAGGTGCCACCAGGCCTTCTGCAGAGCTCCTGTGGAAGGAGCTGGGATGGTGGGTCTTCCTGCCTTTAAAATTGAATCAGGTGCTTAATGGGTTCTCCCTTGGGAAAACCCTCACTTCAAGGCTGAGAAACTCTGTGAAGTCTTGGGAAAACTTGCATTCTGTGATTAGTAATTGCAGTGTTGTCTGACACCTGTGCCACTTTAACCTGACAGACCACAAGGAGTTGAGTCAATGTCTCCTTTTGTGGCTCTTGCTGTGTGGGGATCACAAATTAACTTGTGTTCCGAGAGCTCTGCTAGGGAATGAAATCTTGCTTGGGCAGTGCTCACTCCTGGCTGAGAGTGACTTCTGTCAGGCGTTCCCTGAGGAAGGCGACGGAGCCAAGCAGAACATCCCATTCCCAGTGCCTCTCCAGCACAGCAGGCTCCTGGGGAGGGGGCAGCATGGCAGCGTGTGCCTGCTGGGGGACATCCCTGCTGCTGCTGGCACTGCACAGGAGGCTGTCCTGTGTCACCTCTGCTCAGCGTGCTGCCAGCCCGGCCCCGTGCCCGAGGGGAGCACAGAGCCCAGGGATTCCCTTTGCCTTGTGTTGCAGAGAAGCAGATGGGGAGGACTCTGGAGGAGCTGATCTCCCAGTTTGATGTAGGCAGAATTACAACCCATTCTGCTCTCCTGGACCTTGAAGCGCTCCCAGAATTCAACAGGTAAAAAAATAGTGGTAGCTTTAAAATGTAGTAAGCACCGTGTCAGTGAGAATTTATTTCTAGCACTTGGCTTTGCCTGGAGGTTTTGTTTGTTGGATCAAGCACGGTCCTGGTGCAGCAGCTGTTGGGCTCTGCTAAGAGGAAGCATAAGTTTCTGCTCACACAGTTCCTGCCTCCTCTCCCATTCTGTGCTTGGACACTGGGGTTGGCAGCACTGAAAGTCTAGGCAGAGGGTGGCTGTAGCTGGGAGGATCTCAAGTGTTACGTTTATAACCTAAGAAAATAAGATCTAAAAAGAGTTAACACTTCCAGAAGGTTCTTCTGCAAGTACACTTGTGCTGCTAAGAGTGGCCTCATCATCTGTGGGCACCAGAGCTAAATGCTTCTTTGTAGAGTGTCTGACTCTGGTTTAGTGCTGCTTTTGGAACACTTCCACAGTTTTAGCTCAGTTGGTCAGAGCATGGTGCTGAGAATGCCAAAGTTGTGGGTTCAGTCCCCAGATGGGCTATTCCCTTAAGAGTTGGACTTGATGATCCTTGTGGGTCTCTTCCAACTCAGAATATTCTGTGATTTCTGTGAAACGTGGTTGGGCTGATCCAAGGTAACCCAGAGCAATCCAAGAGCAGGTCTTTCCTCTGCTGCAGGATTCACCTCACCCGTCACATTGAGAACCCAGGGCTGCGCCAGAAGCTCGTCAGGGAGCTGCAGGGGCTGGTGGAGCTCGTCTATGGGGATCAGCAAGTGGATCCAGATGTTCTGGAAAATGAATATGTGGAGCGAGTCCTTCTGCTGAGAAAAGTATGAGTGGCAGCAGAGCACTGTGCCACCGTCCTCCAAGCTGAGGGATTGCTTCCTCCACAGCACAGCCCTCTGCCTTGCCAGCTTTGCTTTCTTCCCCCAGGGTCACATAAGCCTCCTGAAGAATCTGGTGTCGAGTGATTACTCTTACCTGTGGGTCAGGCCCTCGGTGTCCCGGCAGCAGCTACAAGCAATTTCTGCAGAAGTAGATGAAATAGGAAAACTGGTCTTAGGGTAAGTGTAGTGAGTAGTGGCAGCAATGGCTCCTCATCTCTGAAAACTGCAATCTCAAACAATCAGAATTACTGCTTGTTCTGTGGTTTTCCAGGTCTGTGGCATAATTTTGTAGTTTGAACTTGTTCTTTTGAATGAGCTCTGCTGCTGGTGAGCAGAGGGGCACCCTGGCACAGGGTGGGGGTGAGAGGTAGGAACCCTGTGGTTTTTCATTTCCCCAGAGTGTAAGGACACCTTCTTTCCCAAAGGCTCATGACAAGACCAGCAGCTGCCTTGACTGTGGAGGAGTTGAACAAAGAGCTGAGAAGTGTCCAGAAGCAAACCAGAGAGACCAAGTACAGCAGCATGATGCAGCTCCTGCGCTTGGCGCTCAGCGGGCGGCAGGTAAAAAGAACAGTTCTGAGATTATCGCAATGTGCTTTCACAGAGCTCAAACCCAGGTTTTACAAAAGTTCTTCAAAGCCTAGTCCTGGCTCAGCTCTGGTGCTAATCCTCCCGGTCCCTCTGACCCGTTTGCCTTCAGGAGGAGAAAGCCCAAGGCTCTGTTTGAGCTGCTGCTGCCCCCGCAGTGTGGCAGCGGTTGTTTCAGTCCGCGGTGCACAGACTCGTGCTGGGGTTCAGTTCCTGTGCTCAGTGACTCGCTCTGTTTGCAGCACGGCCCGAGCGTGGCGGAGATGATGGTGACTCTGGGAGCTGAGGAGGCGTGTGGCCGCATACACAGAGCCCTGTCCAGCTGACAGGGACGCCGCTGACCTGCCGGGCCGCGCACTCGGATGGCGCAGGTGGCACCTGTGCGATCGGCTCTGATCAGACGAGCTGGGCTTCGGGCCAGGCAGGTGTCTGGGCTGCTCCCACGTCTGTAGGAGCCCGCACTGGGCACAAGCCACTTCGTTTGGGAGAGGAACCAAGTCCAGATTCAACTCCGTCCTGCTGTCGCCTCGTGAAGGAGCCTGCTTTGCAGGGTGGGAGAAAAAGACACATCAGCATTTAAATTCAAACCATGTGGACAGAAAGTAACTGAACTTCTGAAAGCAACAGATCAGATTCTTTTTGGAAAGGGCCTTGCAGTCAGGGTACCTACAGCTACACAACACGGTTCCCCAATAAATACAGTGGGGGTGTTTTTATATTTATATATATATGTATAT